AAAGGTAGCTAGCCAATATGTAGCATGCAGATACAAGTGTTGCAGAAGGTGTCTGTGACAGACAGCTCTAATCAATCCCAGCACAGGATTCTGCTAAGGGCAGTCATTGCTCAGGGCAGCCATAACCAATCAATTGTCATTATCATTTGAAAGCAGCAACTCCTCCTAATTCATCTCTGGCTTGTCCCAAGGCTCACTGCTCCCTCCTTCAGATTTCCCATAATGCCCTTGTTGTTTATTTATCTGTGTCTGTCAGTTTCTCTATTCTAGACCTACAGCTGTCACCTTGCATTGGCAAACATACATCCTTGGCAGAGGATACAGTACTTCCAAGATTAATGTAGTCATCACCTCTTCTAGGAAGCCTTCCTGGATTCAGATTGAGTTTGAGGTTCCTCTTCTCAGTTCCCTCAGTTGCTGGCACATCTGTTGTTTCTGCTGTTGAAATTCTGTGTCCCCTAAGATTGGATTTGGGACCTAGGTCAGGTCACACATGATCCTCAGGGGGCAGGATGGGGATCTCTTGAATGTGTAAAGGTCAAGAAGAGATGTGGGGAGCTTTCAACCCCAGTTTTCCTCTTAGACTGAACTCATTTGGGAGAATGGCCTGGAGGGTCTCAAAATGAGGGTGACGTCCCATGAGATGAATTGCACAGTAGCGGCATCTGTGGGTTCCAGCGTACCTCAGTCTCATTTCTGAGGCTGACACAGGTCAGGATAACATTTCATTCTGTTGCGCGTACGATCTTTGCGTTCGTTCTCTAATGCTACTGTGACAGAGGTCCCACAACGGGGTGGCTTTCACGAACAGAAATATTTTCTCACCGTTTTTGGAGGCTAGACGTCCAAATTCAGGGTGCCAACACTACAGGAATCCTGTTGACTCTGGGGAGAAGTTACTGTTCTTTTAAATTTTTGTCCATCAGTTTCTCAGTGAACTTTCACCCCCAAGTTCTGCTTCCTTGCTTTTGTGCCTACTCAGCTTCTTTTTTTTCTCTGAATAGTAGTTGATTTAAAGCACACCTAACGCTGGTGTGGTGGTGTGGGCTAATGCATCAGACTGCAAAGTTGTTTAAACTGTAAGGGCGGTAGTTCAAGCTCACTAGCTAGCTACTCCTTGGAAACCCTATACAACGTTGCTATGGGTCGGAACCGAATCCAATAGACTTGATGGCACCTTAAACAACAATGCTGATATATGGCCTCATTAGCATATACTTCCGCAGATACGTTGTTGCTCCTAAGGTGCCTACTAGTTGATTCCAACTAATAGCAACCCTGTGTGACAGGAGAGAGGCCCCTCGGGTTTTCTAGGCTGTCTTCTTTACAGAAATAGATAAGCCAGATCATTCTCCTTTGAAACCGCTGGGTGGGTTTGAACAGCCAAACTTTGATGAGCAGCTGAATGCTTAGCTATTGTGTTGCTACGGACCCAGAGATATTTTAAAAACCCATTTCTGTTCATTCTGACTCATAGCGATCCTTTAGGACAGAATAGAGCTGCCTAATCTGTCTACTGTAGAGCAGCTAGTAGGTTCAAACCACCGACCTTTTAGTTAGCAGCCAAGTGCTTAACCACTGTGCCACCAGTACCCTCCCCCCCAAACACACACAGGCATAGGGGTTGTACAATACATGTTTTGGGGGATCAAATTCTATCCACAATAGTTGCTGTGAGTCACTGCTGAGAAGTTTATACCACACAATAAGCTCTGGACTGGGAATCACAAGGGCTGTGTTTCAAGCTAGCCAAGTGCTCTGCAAGAGAAAGATGAGGCTTTTTCTGCTCCTGCAAAGATTTAAAGCTTTGGAAACCCTGTGTACAAGGTCACTGTGAGTCTGAACTGACTCAAAGGCACGTTAAGAACAGTAACAACTATATAATCATAGTTCGGGGCTCATTCCATCACCTCTGTTGTCTAGTTCTGATGTAAATCTAATACCTTGTTTATTTATTCATTTTTTTAGGTTTTCATTATTGGTACTTTTTATTGCCAGTATGTTATCTAAACTTACAGATAAGGGACATGGTGGCCCTGTAGGATCAGCATTGGACTCTACTAACTATAAGGTCGGTGGTTCGAACCCACCAGTCGCTCTGTGGAAGAAAAAGATTTTACGCAGCCATAGAGTTACAGCCTTGGAAGCCGCATGCGCTTTAAGTTGGAACCGACTCCACAACACAGCAACAGACTTACAGATGTATTTATATATCTTTAAGTCCTGGTGTGGCACTGTAGGATAAGCACTGGACTGCTAACCACAATGTTGGCGGTTCAAATCCACCAGCTATTCCTCGGAAACTATTATACAGGAACATTATGAGTCAAAACTGACTCGATGGCACTAAACAATACAGCCTTAGTTGTCTTGTTGTTGTTGTTATATAGGGTTTCCGAGGAGCAGCTGGTGAGTTTGAACTGCTGACCATGAGGTTCAAACTGACCTTGAGGTAGAATGCTTACCCTACAGCGCCACACCAGGACTCCCAGTTATTGTCTTAGGCTGGGTTTTCTAGAGACGTAAAACATGTATGTATGTATATAAAAATAGAGAAGTTTTATTACCAAGGAAATAGCTTACAGGTCCCAGCAGAAGAGAGAGAGGCTTTTCCTTTTGTCCTTTATACTGAGAGCAGGCCATACCCCCAAGGAAGCATCCCTTCAATTGATTGGCTGCTTATATGCCACTCATCACAAAGTTCACTATGCCTATATTAGGTTTCATCACCATGGGAGGAAACACATCATAACTGCTTAAGCTTGGGAATCCTGGTATAGCCACATTGACACAGATATTACAATTACTAATGATGTTGTGATACTGGACTGCAAGGTCTGTTTGAACAACAAGGTTGGTGGTTCAAGCTCACCAGCCGCTCCTCGGAAACCCTATACAGGGTTGCTGTGAATGAGACCCCACTCGACGGCACTTAGCAACAACAACACAAGTGGATGGCTTTAATAAAAAGACGTATGTTGTCGTTAAGTGTCATCAATTCAGTCCTGATTCATAGAGACTCTATATAGGGTTTCCGAGGAACAGTTGGTGTATTTGAACCGCCAACTTTGTGGTTTACAGTCCAGTGCTGATCCTACAGCACTACACCAGGAGTTCAAACAGACATGTAATCTTGTGCAGTTTGGGAAGCTAGATGTCTAAATTCAGGGTACCAGCTCTGGAGAAAGGTTTTCTCTCACGGAGGACTATGGGTGAAAGTCTTTGTCTCTTTTTAACATTTGTGGGCCCGACTGACGTTCCTTGGAGATCTCCATGTGTCTTGGCATTAATCTTCTCTTGGGTCTAGGAGGTTCTTAGTTCAGTGACCCTGGTTTGTAGGATATAATCCATTCATTCCTGGCTCTTCTTTCTTAATGATACTGCAGTCTCTCCTCAGTTTGCTTACTTTACTTGCATTTTATCTCTTAAAAGATAAAAGATGATGCTGGCTGCACCCCAGGGAAACTTCCCTTGTATTTGATCAATGCTGTGACTTGCAGTGAGGGCGTAACATTCCACCTTAATTCCCTCACAGCGGATTGGCTGCTGGTCGGTATGATTACGTCATTATGTAACTGCCAAATGATGTCATTATATAACTGCCAAACCACTAAGAATCATGGCCCAGCCAGTTAACACATATTTTGGGGAGCACATGACACAGATTGTGAAAATTAAGCCTGATAAAAAGAGGAATTCAATGATGTGGGCTTTTTTGTCGGTTGTGATCAACTCCACTTATAGAAGGCTCTAGATCATCTGTATTACCCTTGGGAACAAGGATGGCATTTCTAGTTAGAAAGTCTTGTGAGAGTTATCTATATGTGTGTGTCCCCCCTTTTTTAAAAATCTTCATATATTTTGTATCACGTCTCACTGCTTCCTAAATCTGCTATTAACTTTCGCAAAACGATCAGCATTTGGGTCCAGGTTCTCAAGCCCCCTGATTTAGTAATTTAGTAAACAGAATCTAAAGGGCAGTGTTTGAACAGTAAATCATAATACTAAATATCTGTGAGTATTCATGTGAGGGTGATGTGCTGCAGCGTTGCATGTAGTGAATATTCCTAATGAAAACATCTGCAGAAACAAAAAACTAACGGACAATTACTTTAGTGTGCTTTGTCATAAATCAAATATGTAGGAAGTCAGGGACAGTCCCTTAAAGCCAAGTGGCGCAAGAGCACAAAAAGATTATCATTAGGTGTGTCCTTGGGTTGTGCGAGTGGTTTGCTCTCTGGTAATAATCTAAGCATTCACATTTGCGCCCACCCAGTGCCACGGAAGAAAAACCTGGCTATCTGCTTCTTGAAAAGTTACTACAGCCAAGAAAGCCCTAGGAAGCAGTTCTACTCTGTAGCACATGGAGATGGCCGTGGGTTGGGGTGCAGTAGGATGGGCGTGAGGCACCTAACTGCAAAGTCTATAGTTCGAAGCGACCAGCTGCTTCATGGGAGAATAATGAGTCTGTGTGCTCCCATGAAGACGGCAGCAGTGGGTTGGGTTTGGTTCAGGTAATCATGATTAGAGTTTGACCAATGCAGAATGGAATTTTATTTCACTGCCCAGGGGAGAAACTCACACTAAAGTCAATGAAGGTGAGTGGGCAGGTGGTGGACAGCAGAGCCACATTGAAGCTGTATCCCCCAGGGTTTAGAACATCATGGTTATCTCAAGAGGAGCCCTGGTGGAGCAGTGGGGTTAAGATTTGAGCCGCTAGTCAAAAAATTGGTAGTTTGAACCCACCGGCTTCTCCAAGAGAGAAAGATCAAGCTGTCTGTTCCCATAAACATACACAGTCCCAAAAACCCTATGGAGCAATTCTACTCAGTCTTACAGAGTCATTAGGAGTCGGAGTTGACTCTGGGGCAATGGGGAGGGACCCCAAAGTCTTCATCGGATTGATGGTCACTGATGCCTGCTGCCAAAGGGAAGATAGGAGGGTGTGGGAGATGCACCAATGGAGGCTCACCTTGCAGTCTTTGTATGCCCTTCCTTAGCTGGCATTGCAGACGGGGCGTGAGCCCCCACCCATCTGGCGAGTGCAGAAGGCTCTGCTGCAGAAATTCACTCCAGAGATCAAGGACGGGCAGAGGCAGTTTTGTGCAACTAGTAATGTAAGTGCCAAGGGGGCGATGAGGACGTGCAGCTCCTGGTCGGGTGTGGGGGAGTCTGGGGCCCCCTCATGCATGTCTGTCATTCACCTGGGTCTCTAGTGAGTCCTGAAGGCTGGGGGTGGTTCCCCACTGCCCGGTAGTCTGCTGAGAATCATGGGCTTCCGGTTGAGCGGGTGACGGAGTTCCACTTGTGCGTTTTCCTTCTGTAGTATTTGGGATATTTTGGCAATGCGAAAAACCGATACCAGCGGCTGTATGTGAAATTTCTGGAGAATGTCAACAAGAAGGATTACGTGAGGGTCTGCGCTCGGAAGCCCTGGCACCGGCCCCCTGTGCCCATCAGGTTGGTACCATTGGGTCTGGAGAGGTTGGGGGTGGGTAGGCTGACAGGCATAGGGTGGAACCTGCAGGAAGCGGTTACATACATAGAGTCAGGTGAATACACAAGACAGAGACTCAGAGGTGGACAGGAAGACAGATTCAGAGTTGGACAGATATCCAGAGGGAAAGAGGGGATAGCGACCTGGAAAGGTGGGGGGAGACTCAGCATAAAAGAAACTGGCTGTGCTCTTGTCCACTGACTGTTGTCCCTTCTACCTTCCATTCCAGACGCTCCGGGCAGGCCAAGGGCCCTACGTCTGCAGGGGGCAGTTCTGCCCCTCCCCCCAAAGCCCCAGTGCCACCTCCTAAGCCAGAGGCCCCTGAAAAGACGGCATCTGAGAAGCCCCCAGAGCAGACGCCCGAGACGGCTGTGCCTGAGCCCCCTGCCCCTGAGAAGCCCTCCCCACCACGGCCCGCCGAGAAGGAAAAGGAGAAGGAACGGCCACTCCGGGGGGAGCGGCCCTTGCGGAGTGAGCGAGCCGCAAGCGGACGGCAGACCCGGCCTGACCGGAACATCACTGCGGGACAGCCCACCGCCTCCCGGCTGCCCAAGGCCCGGCCCACCAAGGTGAAGGCTGAGCCGCCCCCCAAGAAGAGGAAGAAATGGTTGAAGGAGGCGGTGGGCAATGCATCGGCAAGTGGGGGGCCCCCAGGCAGCTCCTCGGACTCAGAGTCGTCCCCTGGAGCGCCCAGCGAGGACGGTGAGGCCCTCTGTCCTCGACAGCCATGGGGCTGGTCTGGGAGGCATGGGGAAGTGACTGGGAGCTTCAGAAGTGGACGTGGGTGAGGGCTGTCGAGAGGATGCCAGGACCACCGGTGAAACAGTAACAGTAACAACAGTAATAGTAATAATAATTACAATAGAAATAGTATAATCGGTTATCGGGGAGTCATCGCCAGCTCATGGCCACCCTGGTATGTGCTTCTTAAGATTTGTTTCTTTTTTAAAAAACTTTTTATTGTGAATTGAGTGAAGGTTTACAGACAAGAGCATCCACTTTATTGGTAAGTACCACCTAGTTGGTTCCAACTCATAGCAACCCAGTATATGGTTTCCACAGGAGCAGCTGATGGGTTTGAACCAATGACCTTGTGGTTCAAACCAAACTTGTGGATCAGTGCTTATCCTACAAGGCCACATCAGGACAATAAATCACACACTTTGTTCCGTATCAGTCAGGACAATCCATGCAATAAGTTATGCCGTGTCTTCTCTGTGGTCCCTATTTGCATTCCCCCCACCTTCCTATTCCTTCTCAACTTTGTCCTTAGGAAAGGGTTGCCCTTTTGATTTTGAATGATTTGAGCATCCATAGTGAGCAGACTTCTTACTAGTGTTGTTGTGTACTCCACTCGCCATAAACCGATGTACTGCTAGGCTGAAAATTGGACCATGAAGGCGAGTTCCTTTCCACACCTGAAGGATGGTCGAGGGCCCTAGTCACAGGTTCCTAGTCACAGTTTTCTTCTGATCGGTGAACACAGTCTTTGTTTTTTTCCTTTATTAAATAATTTTGTTTGTTTCACATTTTCTCTCACTTTATTCAGGACCCTCTAAGGTGATCTCTTTCAGAACAGTCAGTAGTGGTAGCTGGGCACCATCTAGTTCCTTCTGATCTCAGAATCGTGGAGACGGATGTCCACATGGTCCGTGAGTCCATTGGACTAATTGATTCCAAACCTCTTCAATTCTTACCACTCTTTTTTTCTCCACGAGTGGAGACAGCAATAGCTGTACCTTAGATGGTCACCCATGAGCTTTCAAGATCCCAGACACTACTCTCCCATGTAGGGTGTAAAGCATTGTCTTTGTGAACATAGGAATGTAAATGATTGAGTTTTCAGAAGTAGATTTGTCACATTTTTCTTCTGAGGGATCTCTGGGCCTGCTCGAACAAACAGCCTTTTAGCCAGCAGCTGAGCAAGTATAACCTTTTGCATGATCTCAGGGATTCCTACAATAGTACAAGTAAATTAAAAATAATCACAATAGCTAACTGTTATGTTGTTGTTAAGTGTAGTGAAGTCGGTACCTAAGTATTTGAGTCAGGTTGTTTCTCAAGTCCTTATACATATTAACTTTATTTTTCACATACAATTGTTGTTAAGTGCCATTGAGTCGGTACCGATGTAAATAATACAACATGCATAGCATATATTGGAAACTGACATGTGAAGAAGGGATTATAAAATCTGTAAAAGAAAGGTACAGTTCTTGAGTTGTTTGTATAAAAATGCAATGTTAAATTTTTATATGGTCCTGAGAAGTAGCTAAAGGAGCCCTGGTGGCACAATGGTTAAGCACTCAGCTGCTAACTGAAAAGTCACTGGTTCAAATCTGCCAGCCGCTCCATGGGAGACAGCTGTGGCAGTCTGCTTCTATAAAGATTTCCACCTTGGAAACCTTATAGGGCTGTTCTCTGTCCTGTAGGGTTGCTGTAAGTCAGAATTGGCCCCATGGCAGCAAGTTTAAGACATAGCTGCTCCTGTTATTTGTGGTGCTATAGGATAAGCACTTAACTGCTAACCGCAGAGTCGGCAGTTCAAACCCATCATCTGCTCCTTGGAAACTCTGTACAGGCTCACTGTAAGTCAGAACCTACTTGACTGCCCTTAACAACAACAACATAGATGAGGAAACTGAGGCACTGAGGGTGCCATGCAGCTGGTATATGGGCATTTCCTCCCACCTCCTAACTCCACTGGAGTTTCAGGATGCTTTTGTTCTTCGGCCCTGTATTATTTTATCTCAGAACAGGCTAGGTTGTAAGTACTGAAGAGGCTATGACATGGGCCAGTAGCTGGCCTGGTGGCCCAGATATACTGCTGTTCCCTGTAACTCCCTGGGTGACCCTGGGGAAGAGTAACCTCTCTGTGATTCAGTGACATCATCTATAAAATGGGTTCATAATAGATAAGTTTACTGTTTCTCTAGTGATACCTGATGCATGATGCCAACACCTCATCCAAAAAAAAACCCTAAACCAAACCTACTGCCATCGATCTGTTCCGATTCATAGCAAACCTATAGAACAGGGTGGGAACTGCTCCTTAGGGTCTTCTGAGACTGTTCACTGGAACAGACAGCCTCATCTTTCTCCCATGGAGCAGCTGGTGGGTTTGAACCCGTGACCTTGTGGTTAATAGCTCAATGCATAACTCCTGATTTAACACAGCTGCACAAACATTATGAGTCAGGTGGGAGAGGTTAAATTCTCTTTCCATACAAGCCTAAGTGTAGATGGGAGATTCATACACAGCAAATGTTGTTGTTGTGTTAAATGCCATCCTGTTGGTTCTTACTCAGCGAACCTGTATAGGGCTCCCGAGACTTTAAATCTTGCGGCAACAGATGATAGCCATATCTTTCTCTCGAGGAGCGGCTGGTGGGCTTGAACCACAGACCTTGTGGTTGCAGTTTGTGCAGAAACACCGCACTCCCTATGTAACAAGAGTCTTTTTCTCAAGGTTGTTTAGGGTCCTGGTTTCTGTTTTTTCTCTAGCTTCCCTCCAATGTAGGAGACTCCACTTTACTGTTAAAGGCAACCCAACAGTTTCACATCTTTTTTTTTTGCCAGTGGTTAAGTAAGGACACTGGGTCAGAGAATGCCAGACGTGAGAGTAAATGCCAGATGTGAGAGTAGCCAGCATCCTTTCTTCTCAAACCCTGTCAGCCAGAATTTGATCACGATCACACCTATCTGCAAAGGAGCCTGGGAAATACTGTTTCTAACTTTAGATAGCTGGTGCTCTGCTACAAGATCAGGATCAGGACAGCTTGAGACCTCAGACAATGGAGGCTCAGCCTAAGAGAGGTCTGAAGGTACAATCCACATACCCAAACCAATTGCCCTTGAATCAGTTCTGATTCTTGGCAACCCTGTGTGCGTCAGAATACAGTTAGACTCTGTATGCTTTACATTTTCAGAAATAAATCACCAGGCTTTTCTTCTGAAGCACCTCTGAGTGGACTCGAGCCACCAACCTCTTGGGTACCAGTAAGCACTTGGCCATTTACAACACCCAGGGGTTCCGTGGGAGGTGAAGCAAAGCAAAGACACTCCCTGAAGATACAGATTTGCAGGTTTTCCCCTGTCTGGCCTTCGCTGTTTTCTTCTTTTTTCCATAGGGCTGTGACACCATCTCCACTGTCCGTTTTTTAATGTTTTTACACCCCGGAAAGAAACCCTACAACTTTTAGCCCTTATCTCCCATTCCCCTGACCATCTTGTTGTTTGGTACCATCAAGTCACTTCTGACTCATAGCAACCCCATGTGACAGAAAAGAATTGTTCTATAGTGGGTTTTACTTGATTGTTACTGTTTTCTTAGATGCTATTTACTTGGGTTTTTTGATGAAATTTTACACTGCAAATTAGCTTCCCAGTATCCCATAGGGTTTTCTTCAGTGTAGTCTTTGGGGACTAGGTCTTTCTCTTACAGAACCATTGATTGGGTTCAAACTGCCAGCCTTCCACCTTGCTACTGAATGAGCATTTAACAGTTGTGCCACCGAAGCACCTCATCCTCACCCTAAAGCAAAACCTCTGCCATCAAGTCAATTCCGATGCATAACAACCCTCTGTAGGGTTTCTGAGACTGTAAATCTTTAAGGGTGCAGACAGCCTCATCTCGCTCACCCTTCATTGTTGTTAAGTGCCATTGAGTCGATTCCAACTCATAGCGACCCTGTATAGGGTTTCTGAGGAGTGGCTGGTGAGCTTGAACCGCTGACCTTGTGGTTCAAACCAACGTTGCAGTCCAGTGCATTAACCTGCAGCACCACACCAGGACTCCCTCACCCTTTTGTTATTCTTAAGTACCGTGAAGTCAGTTCCGACTCCTAGTGACCCTGCACAGGGTTTCCAAGGTTACAAATCTTTACAGGAGCAGAAAGCCTTGTCTTTCTCCTGTGGAACAGCTGGTAGTTTCGAACTGCCGACTACCACTCATCTGCTTCTTGCCTGTGTAGATTTGTCTCTTCTGGACATCTCATGTAAAAGGAACCAGCCAAGCGTGACTATTTTTTGTCTGGCTTCTTTTACTCAGGAGCATGATTTTGAGGTTCATCTGTGTTGCAACATAGGTCAGAACTTCATTCCTTTTGTTACGGTGGGATAATATTTCACAGAATGGATGGCATTTAAGTTTTCTGTGAACATTCACTGGTGACCCTCACTTTCCAGAGCTGAATTCACAACCTTTAAGGAAGCACCTCATAGACAAACCCTTATGTCTTTCTCTGGGTCTGTTTTTATCTCTCCTTTCCCAATCAGACCAGGAACCTTTCCACAGAAGGATGGACCTTGCTTATTCCTGGAGACCCTATGCTGCTCAGCACAGGGTCCGCAAAACCAACCCGCTTATTATTCATTGTTCATTCAGTCCAAAGTCTTCCCAGAGACTCATCATCCTACATATTCTGGAAGCTTCTAAGTCTGGATTATGATGGATACTTTCTGCTTTCTCATGTTCTCACAGAGCATTTTAGTAAGAGACTATGGTGATGTCCCCTCTTCCTCTCCCTCTTGTCCACTTCCACCCAGCTTTCTCTGTTCCTTTTAGTGGGCGTTTATTGAGCACCTACTGTGTATGCTGGAGTCTCTCACTGTGAGCACAACAGACAACGACCACATTGGTGTTTATAGACAGTCAAATTAATATAAAAACTACTAAGAATATAAAACAGCGGGAAAGAATCATAATGGTAATTCTGAGAAGGATTAGAGGTAGTTAAGAGGATCAGGTAGGATGGTGGAGGGAATAAGGTAAGGGCCAGGTGATTCTGGGGGAGCAAACATTTCAGGCTGAGTTTGGATCAGACCATGTGACTGGAACTCTGTGAACAAGGGGGAAAGTGTGGGAGTTGAGGTATACCATGGTGGGAATAGTAGGACAGAATCTGGCTAACTCTAATGCAAGTTAAGTCCATCCCCAAACTGATCCCTGTGAGGTGGCTGTGAAGACATACCTCCACTTTCCAAACTTGTTCCCAGTTCTGTCGCCAGCATTCCTCCCCCCAGCACTCTCTACTTTGCATCTGGGTTCAATATTCCTTCATAGTAACCACATAGAACTCACAGACCAGAATCAGAGTTAAGTGGTTTTATTAAGGAAGTCAGAGATACAATTCAAGATCAGGATTAGGAAGTATGTAGGCAACATCTCCCTTCTCCAGTGTTGGACAGCACTCTCAGCTCCTCTTAACACCCCGGCGACAGATTTTTCTCTGTCTGCATTGCTCTCTGTCACCACCGACTCTGCATGGTCTTCAGTGTTGTAGCCATTGGCCTGTATTACAGTATTCTTAGGAGGTTCCTTGCCTTTTCTCTCTCTGCTGCTGCTTCTTCCTTTCTGCTTCTGTGGGTCTAAAAACCTCTGTGGTGTTGACTGCTTAAATACACAGACTTCTCATCAATTTCAAAGCCTGGCCCTCCCACCAAGGCCGGGAACTATAATCCAACCAATTCTCTCTGGGTAGGCAATGGATACTTCATTTGCATAGTGGGCTGTAGATACTTTATTTGCATAGTCTGTGGACCAATCACTGCAAAGTGAGTATCAATCAGAGTAGGCAACAAACAGCCCAGGACTAGGCAAAAACTTATCAAAGCTCAGGAAATACCAGTCAATCTGGACAGAAGTAGCAAACCCTCTGTAGTACAAAACTAGGGCTTAGGGGGGAAACCCTCTCAAGCTATTTTTCCGCAAAACCACATGAAGGAACTCATTTCACCACATAAGGAAAAAGAAGTAAAAGGAAGGGCCAGGTTGTTTAGGTGGTAACAGTCCTCCAATTTCATTGTACACACAAATTTCCAAGGGATCTTGTTAAATGCAGATTCTGTGAGGGAGGTGGGGGTCATGGGATTGTATTTCTAGCCAGCTTCTAGGTAATGCTGCTAATCCACAAACCACACTTTTGAGTACTAGGGCTTTGTGGCCCACTGGAAAAATGTTGACTTTACCGTGAGGGAGATGAGAGTCACACAAGGATCTAGATGCCTCACATTGTGAAGGAGTTACACTGACCCCTTGAAACAGTTCCCAGATCTGATCATGGCCAACCTCTTGTCTTCTTCTTTCCCATTAGCCAGACTTTGGTCACATGACCTCACCTAACTGTAAGGGAACCTGCATAAATCAAATGAGTGTCTCTGGTGCCTCGTCCTTGGGGATATTCTAGAGCTGCTGGCTGACCCTTCTGCTTTTCTGTTCCCTGGATGCTTCTGGATTCACTGAGGGTATCCCTCGTGGCCCTGCCCTTGACCCTGTTGTTTCTTAGTCCACACCGTTTGTATATTAGGCCCCTTGGACATGATTCTTCCATCTGACCACCCACCAGTTTCAGTTGGTATATCCAGCTTCATGGTCCACACAGCTGACTTGACACCTGAGCCACCCACCCCTTCCCTCCTGCCCTAATTCTACCTTCTCCCTTCCATTTTTTTCCAGTGTTGTTGTTAAGTACCATCAAGTTGATTCTCTGTATACGGTTTCCAAGGTTGTAAATCTTTACGGGAGCAGAAGACCTCATCTTTCTCCCATGGAGTGACTGGTTACTTCATACCTGCCAAGCTTGTGGTTCATAAGTCCAGTATTTACTGTGTAGAACCACCATGCTCCCTTCTTTCCCATAGTCCAAGCTCAATTTGGACTTGACCCAGACACCTGCCCTCCGGTCCCCTCAACCTGCCCTCTCACCCAGCTCTACTCAATACTCCTCCTTCCACATTTGGTCTACTACCCCGGCCTTAACTCTTGGCACTTCAGTCTGCCTGCCCACTCTATGGCTTCAGAAGCATTTGGCCCATATTTCACTCTGCTCACCAACCTCCCATGGCTCCCTAGTACTCCCCAGAAAAAGTCCTTACTCCTTGTGGTCTGCCCTTCCTGTGCAGCCCCCCACCCCCATCATCTCCCTCATTATTTTTATGTTAACTGAGATAAAATTCACATCCTATAAAACGAACCATTTTGAAGTGTGCAATTCAGTCCACACTTAGTTTGGTGCTACCCATTTTGTGAATTCTCTTTCCAATTAAACTTTTTTTTTTTTTTTAAGTTATTTTTAAGTAAATAAAGTGTACAATTCATTCACGGTACACTCACAACATTGCACAACCATCTAGGTGTTAAATGTTTCTGTCATCCCAAAAGGAAACCCCATACCAAGTAAGTAGTGGCTCCCCATTTCTGCTCCCACCCCTAGCCCTTGTCATCCACGAGTCTACATTTTGTCTTCGTGGCTTTTCCCTATTCTAGATGTCTCGTGTAAATGGAGTGAGGCAAGATGTGGCCTTTTGTGGCTGGATGCCTCTTGGCACCTGCTTTCAAGGTTGATCCATGTTGTAGCATGTGTCCATCTGTCATTTCCTTCTGTTGATTCTTTTCATCCATTGATGGACATTTGGGTTCTTCCACCTCTTGGCTCTTGTGACTGACTAGTGCTAATACAGACATGCATGTGTAAGGATTACTTTGAACACCAGCCTTCTGCTCTTTGAGGGTCATACCATAGTCCCCCCTTAGCCACGGTTTAAGTTTCCGTGGCTTCCATTACTCACCCGCTGTCTTTAAATGTTAAGTGAGTGTAGAGCGCCTTTCCACCCAGAGCAAGAATCTTCATTTTATCCAGCATATCCACACTATGTGCTACCCACCCGCTAGTTAGCATTAGTTACTGTTGTTCATCTCTTAACCGTGCCTACTTTATAAACTAAACTTTCATCACAAATATGCAGGTATAGGACAAAACATTCCTATTTCAAATAGTTTGTGGACAAATAGAATGAAAAGATTGTGGAAGCCCCCTCATATATAGGGTTCAGTACTATCCACGGCTTTGAGTATCCACTGGGGAGTCGTAGAATGTATCCCCCGTAGATAAAAAAGGGTACTGTTGTCTACTTAGGATAAGGTGGGAGTGGGTATCCTTGAGCGACTGGAATTTCTAGACCATGTGATAATCCTGGTGTGGCACCGCCAGGTCCATTCGAACCATAAGGTGAGTGGTTCAAACTTACCAGCATACTCCTCGGAAACCCTGTACGATGCTGCTATAAGAGTCAGAGCAACAGCAACATGGCTGTCTCCTTCATCTTGCCTTTTGCAAGATCTCTTGGACTGTATTCACTATTTGACTTTCATAGACTAGACTTGATGGGAGCTACAATGAGCTAGTCAGTCTCTTAAACACAAAGTTTGAAAAATATTCTGGAATATTCCTTCCTGTCATTCAAGACTCGCTGTCTGTTCCACTTGACACTAGCTTTCCTGCCTGTCCAGTTAAAGGTCTGAGGCCTCTGGACCCCTGCAACGTCTGCGATCCTACCATTAGGGCATATTTCTCTAGGGTTTGCCTGTCAGTTTGGTACTTCCTCCCCACAGATTGGACCTCTCTGCGCACAGGTACTACTCACCTGGTCCCTGATGCTGAGAAGAGTGTCGGTCACACAGGTGGCATCATAGACTGTTTGAATAACAGAGCCTGCTCCCATGTTTCCTCTAGAGCGGGCAATCCCTGGTCGTCTGCTGAAGACTCGGGCAATGCGGGAGATGTACCGGAGCTACGTGGAGATGCTGGTGAGCACAGCACTCGACCCAGATATGATCCAGGCCCTGGAGGACACGCATGGTGAGATGGGGCCTGGAGACGAGAGGTTGGCAACCCAGACTCTTGGGTCTGAGGGAGGAGAGAGCTGGGGCCCCAGGCCACAGCCTCTCCTTGACCCAGTACATTGTGGGACAGTGGCTCTCCTGACCTGACACTCCTCGTTTTCCAGATGAGCTGTACCTCCCACCCATGCGGAAGATTGACGGCCTCTTGAATGAGCACAAGAAGAAAGTCCTGAAGCGGCTATCGCTGAGCCCAGCTCTGCAGGTGCTTGCGGCTGGGGCTGGGCCAGCTTGGACCCAGGGTCCATGATCAGAGGGGGCATTAGTGGATGGAATGGGCTTGGCCAGGAGGAGAAGTGGAGGGCAGCGCTGTCTGGAGGGGGTTTGAGGGTTCAGATGGAGGAGCTGGGGATCTCGGCATGTCATGGACGGATCCTTGTGAACATCGAAGGTAGCCTGGGAAATCCTATAGGTTGTAGAGTTAGAACTGAATGAACACAAGTTTGGTGACAAAAGATTATATAGACTGGGAGTTTCCCACAAGGCTCTAGGCTAGAATTTTGAGTTCTCCGTCAGAGTCATGTGGACTTTGAGAAATCCAGAATTCGTGTTCTGTTATCTCTTTAACTTCTCATCCGAAATGTTTAGGGATTGTGTTGTGTGTCTTCAGAGCTCTGGGGTGGAATCTTAGGTTGGCTCTGAGAAGTCCAGAATAGAACCTCAATGTGGGAGTGAGCATTCTGGCTGAGAAGTTAAGTCTACCTTGGAGAATTAAGAGTGGATTATAATCTGACTGAGAATTCTGGGATGGCTTGGAAAACTGGGTGAGATGTTAGGCTGTTGCTGAGAATTATGGGATAGACTATTAAGATTGGCACTTCGGATTTGTGGTGAGCTGTTGATCTCATTTTGAAAATTCTGAAGTAAAATATTAGAAGGCTTTGAGAGTTTGGAGTGAGATAATTAGACTAAGAATTCTGGGTAGGAGGTTAGGGTGACTGAGAATCCTGGAATGAGATTGTTAGACTGGTGCTAAGAATTTTGAGACAGTTCCTATGACACATTTGAGAGGATGTTAGTTTACTCTAAGAATTATTAGGCTGGTATTGAGAAGTGGCTCTAAGGATTCTGGGTAGAATGTTAAGCTACTACTGAGAATTATGGGCTTGATTGTTAGGGTGGCTCTGAGGATTCTGGGTGGGATGTTAGGCAAGCTCTAAGAATTCTGGAATAGATTATTAGAGTGCTTCTGAGAATTCTGGATTGGAATGTTCTAGCTTTGAGAATTATGCATGGAATGTATGGGTGGCTCTGAGATTGTGAGCTAGATGGGATTGTAAGGGTTCCCTTAGGATTCTGAAGTGAAAGATGGTGGTGAAAATCTGGAAGGATGTTCGTCTTCGTCTCACTGAGAATGCTGGAGTAAAACTTTCGGTGGCTCTGAGAATTCTGGAGGATGTTAATCTAATCAGAATTCTGGAATGGATTGTTGGACAAAATCTGAGAATTCTGGTATACAATGTTAGACTCACTAAAAATTCTGCATGAGATACTAGGCTGACTCAGAGAATTCTGGGTAGAATGTTAGGGTGACTGAGAATTCTGGAATGCGAGGCTGGCACTGAGAATTCTGAGAAAGTTCGTGTACTACTGAAAATTCTGGAAGGGTGTTAATTTACTCTCAGAATTGTTAGGCTGGCACCAGCACTGACTAAGAATTCTGGGAGAGATTGTCAGGGTAGCTTTGAGGATTCTGGAATGGAATGTTCTAATTTTGAGAATTGTGGAGTAGATTATTAAGCTTGCTTTGAGAATTCTGGGGTGAAGGTTCTGGGTGGAACATTAGGCAGCTCTGAAAATTCTGGAGTATGTTAGTCTATTCAGAATTCTGGAATGGATTGTTGGGCTAGCCTTGAGAATTTAGGTAGAAGTTAGACTGATGCTGAGACTTTAGATGGAGAATGTTAAGGTAGCTCAGAAAATTTGGGGTATCCATTTCAGGTTGCCTCTGAGAATTCTGGGTAGGATATTAGGCTGGTGCTGGGAATTCTCTATGGGATGTTAGTTTGAAAAATCTGGGTAGGGTATGATATCAGGCTGTGTCTGATAAATCTGAGTGAACTGTTGTTGTTAGGTGATGTGCATCAATTCTGACCATAGTAACCTTGTGTAGGTTTTCCGAGACTGTAAGTCCTTACAGGAAACAGCCTTATTTTTTTTTCTGAGGAGTGGCTGGTGGGTTTGAACTTCCGACCTTGCGGTTAGCATTTCAGTGCTAATCCACCTCCGTGTGTGGACTGTTGTTGTTGTTAAGTGTCATGGAGTCCGTCCCGACTCATAGTGACCCTGTTTAAGGTTTCCAAGGAGCAGCTGGTAGGTTTGATCCTCTGACCTTGGGATCAGCAGTCCAGTGCAAATCCTACAGTGCCACTCCAAGACTCTTATTAGCTGTGTGAAAATTCTGGAATTTTGGTCCCTAAGGGGGGGCCAAGACATCTGAATGTCTGGGGGAAACTGAATACCCCCATGGCTGAGGGGTGGGTGAGGAACTGGGCGTAGGCAGATGTGCCTGACTATTGGCTTCCCACAGGATGCTCTGCACACATTCCCACAGCTGCAAGTAGAGCAGAGTGGGGAGGGTTCCCCCGAAGATGGGGCTGTACGTCTGCGGCCAGCTGGGGAACCCTACAACCGCAAGACGCTCAGCAAACTCAAGAGGAGTGTGGTCCGAGCCCAGGTGGGCACTGGAGTGGGGAAGGAAGGGGATGTACCAGATGGGAGGTGGGTGTGGAGGCTGCCCAACACTGACTAAGCCGTCCCCTGACTGTCTGCTCAGGAGTTCAAGGTCGAGCTGGAGAAGTCGGGGTACTACACACTCTACCACTCACTCCACCACTATAAGTACCACACCTTCCTGCGCTGCCGGGACCAGGTGAGCACTCTCAGGAGGTTCCGAGACTCACCCCTGACCACTCCTGTACCCGGGACTCAGGACTGACTCC